TATGAGGTAGATTGAAGTCACCAAGAAAGATAAAAGCGTGTGGGCAGGATGCTGCCCATGTTAGTAGTGTATTTAGCTTGTTTATATGTTCAGTGTCATAATCAGGGGCTCTGTAACATAGTAAAAACCAAAATGTGATATTTAAGGTCAGTTCACAGATAATGGTCTCAGGAAGAGCAAGCTCCTGGGTAACTTGGATGTATTTTAGATGTAAGGACTTTTTATAGAAGATAGCAACACCACCTCCCCTACAGATTTCATGAACGAATTGGTAAACATGATAGTCTCTTACTGTGGTAATGGAGTCATGGAGAGATGCATTGAGCTATGTGTCACAGACAAATATGATGTCGAATTTAGCCGTATTTAGTAAGAGGAGAAATTAAGGTATTTTATGTACAAGGCTTCTTGCATTGGGTGCTCACCGCCTTGCAAGTATGGGATGAATCTCACTGTCTCACCGTCCTGCAAGGATTATTATAGAGCCCCCGGTACTGACAAACCCCATTGCCTTACCTTCTAGTAAGGATCGGTTGAATTGCAGACCGTTGAACACTTTTGAATAGAGCACTTTTGAATTTAGTGCTTTCCCAGGAATGAGCTCTTTTCTGGTGTGCTGGTCAAGGATGGGAGGAATAGGAAATCGCCGAGTACTTTTGAATTGAGCGTTTACTGAGGAATGGAGCTCTTTTCTGGCTTGCTAGCAAGTCTCGGGCATGAGGCTTTCCACTTTGCCATCTGGACCCACAGGGATTAGAGGGCTTGTCGCCTGGCCCTGCCCATGCCTGCCGGAGCTCCTCACGCTGTCACTACTGTTACCGTCATCTTGCTAACCCCACCATCTGGTATGGTAAATAATTACTTACCATACCATCTGGTATGGTAAATAATTACCATACCTCATGGCCGTTAGCCATCTCTAAATTCTACACCTCAGAGACTTAAGCTCCCCAATTTCTAAAGTCTCAAAAGAGAGAAGCATTGTTGCTTTTAATTTTGCAAGTGTTATTTCCCATTAAAAGAATCCACAGTCCTTTGTTTCATTGGCAGAAAATTATGACTAATCAAAGCTGTAACACTTTTTCTAAATTTTCTTCCCTTGCATGTCACCATGGAATGAAGAAGATTGTGGTGAGCAATGGAACTAGATTATTTACAGAATACAAGCCCAAAGGATAAATTACTTGTAAGCATGGGTGGGATTCTACAGGTTCTGTCCCCCTCTGTAGAACCAGTAGCTCTGAAGAGCAGCAGACATAGAACCAATTCTATGTCTGCTGCTGTTTTGGCCCACCTGCCTGCCTGGACTCTTACCTGATCTTTATTTCCTGCTTTTTCAACTGCAGCTGCTTTGCGCAACACAGCTGCGGTTGATAAAGCAGGAAAAAAGGCTATTCCAACCGCTGTGCACTTGCACGGAGCACTGCTCAGTTGCCCGAGCAGCTCAGCGGGTTGTAAATTGCACACGCGTGACTCACGCAACTCAGACATGTGCATGCGACACAGAGCAACAGAACCAGTAGTTATACTGGTCGGATCCCATCCCTGCTTGTAAGAATGTCATAAGAGTAGAACTGTGTATATCCCTCCCTCCATTCACTTTAAATAGAAACATTATTCTATCCTAGTTAATATTGGAATATATATCTCACAATGAATTTGTCAGTTTTCAGATGAAGAGTCTTAAAAAAGAGAGAAAACTCTTTCTCACTTCAATATTAGTCTATTCCTTTCTCATATCAGTGCTGTCAAATCCATACAACCTAGAGCTATAGTTGCTAGAGTTCATGTGCCAGATGCCCAGAGTAAAAAATAAGGTCCACATTTTCTTTATTTATAAATATATATAAAAATTAAAATACCAACTGTATAATTCTGAAGTAAACATATTTACATAGTTTATAACCCTCATAATTCCTTACTCATAATTACCAACACAATTTGGCTCTGGCATTTGCTATAAAAGAGATAAATGAAAATTCTGGGATTTTACCTAATGTTACCCTGGGTTTCCACATCAGACCCAACTATTTGATGACATTACATCTTATCATTTAGCAATGGAATTTCTGTCTACAAAAGATACATTTATCCCCAACTACAAATGTAATGATGAGAATAATACAGTAGCTGTCATTGGAGGACCCCGTTCTAAGACCTGTGTCAACATGGCAACTGCTCTGTGTAACTACAAGTTTCCTCAGGTGAGATCAAAACTGGAACAGGAGTGGAAATTCAACAGTTATTTGTTACTTTCAGATATTGAGTCCTCATGATAGGTCTCCTAAAACCATAAGACAACCAGTTCGTGATGGAATGCAATGCAATGGAAATTGCCACAGCTGTTCATAAACATACTGTGAAACTTCCTGATGCTAATCTGTTAAACTGTTAAGAAAGGCATTTTATGCTCTTTCTACAAAAGGAAACGGTTGGCTTGTGCCAAGACTTGGAGACTATCTCCAAAAAAAACACCAAGAGTGACAATTAAAAAACATACACATCATACACTTCTCTTTGGAACATTTCTTTTTTGACTGTATTCTTTTTTCCTCATTTAGATCACATATGGATCAGCTTCACTGATGAATAAGGAAACAACAGCACATTTTGTCAAATGGATGTTTCCAGATGAGATCCACCAGCTTAAAGGAATACTACATTTATTGTTACATTTTGGATGGACCTGGGTTGGATTGATTTCTCTGTATAAGGAAGATAGAGAGCGCTTCATTCAAAAAAGTATTTCCATATACTCAGAGAGAGTCATCTGTTTTGACTTTATAGAATGTATCCCACAAATGATGTATGGCAATTTAGCTGCTGAAATGATGGAGGAGGCAGATAAATTATATAAAGTGATCATGGGAAGTACAGTCATTGCAGGGATCTTAAATGCTGAAATTACAACCATTGTGACTTTGAGAATAATTATCTATGTTTTAGATGCTGATGATATTCCAAAGGAGAGAAAGGCCAAAGTTTGGATCATAACAGCTCAGATGGATTTTACCTCTATTCTAATGCAAAGACACTTGCCCATTGATTTTCTCCATGGTGCTCTTTCCTTTGCAATTCATTCAAAGAAGTTACCAGGTTTCAAAAAATTTATGTGGAAGAGAAACCCAAACTTTGAAAAAGAAGATGGGTTTATAAGGGATTTTTGGAAAGATGTATTTGACTGCTCATTCCCTAGTGAGATGATAGACAGGAAGGCTGAAAGGATGTGTACTGGAGAAAAGAAGAGACTCCTAATTCTGTTTTTGAGACTATTGTGAGTGGACATAGCTACAGCATCTATAATGCAGTCTATGCTGTGGCACATGCTCTGAGGGCCATATGCTGCCAAACCCCCAAATTCAAACAAAGATCAGGATAGTTGTCTCCAAAAAACTATAACTTACTTGACTTATCGAGAGCCTTTGGGAAGTTCTTTGCTGGTCTTAGCAGTCTTCTTGTCTTTCAGCTCAGTTTTAGTACTGGGGATCTTCATTACACACCAAGACACTCCAATTGTTAAAGCTAATAAAAGAAACCTCACTTATATCCTTCTCATTGCTCTCCTCCTCTCCTTCCTTTGCACTTTTCTCTTCATTGGGCAACCTGATCAAGTGAAATGTCTCTTGCGACAAACTGCCTTTGGTATCATTTTTTCTGTAGCTCTTTCTTGTATATTGGGAAAAACAGCAATTGTTGTTCTTGCTTTCATAGCCACCAAGCCTGGTTCCAAAATGAGGAAATGGGTGGGGAAAAGGTTGGCTGTTTCAATTGTCCTACCTTGCTCCATGGTACAATTTGTTATCTGTATAGATTGGTTGACAACTTTCCCACCATTCCCAGATGCACTCCATGGCTGAAGAAATTGTCCTACAATGTAATGAAAGTTCAACTACTATGTTTTGTTTGGCTTTATGGGGTTCTTGACAGCTTTCAGCTTCACAGTAGCCCTCTTAGCTAGGAATTTATCTGACAGCTTCAATGAAGCCAAATTCACCACCTTCAGTATGTTGGTCTTTTGCAGTGTCTGGGTATCATTTGTTCCCACCTATTTGAGCACCAAGGGGAAATACGTGATTGCTGTGGAGATCTTTTCTATCTTGGCTTCAGCAGGTGGATTACTGGTCTGCATATTTCCCCCCAAATGCTACATCATTATTCTGAGACCTGACCTAAACAAGAAGGAGCAACTAATAAAGAAATAAAGCTTATTTTTATATTAGATCCCTCAAAAGAGGCCAAATTGGTTACTAACAACATACTAGTTTTTGGCAGTTTGGCATTCTTTTCTGTACTAGTAAATCAAGGTGACACTCTCCTCCAACGTTTTTGCAGAATCTAGACAGCTGCTCCTCATCTATTCTTTCAAATGTTTTTTTTTCTGGCCTTGATCAGAATAGAGTGCCTAAGACAATGTTGTGTGAAAATCAATTTTTCATCAGATAACGCACACTAATCTTTCTGTCTTGCAGCTTGAGTTTCACAATATCCCTGCCTTCCCCCAAAAAGAAAAGCCATCCCAGCCTGATAAAGGTTTCTAATTGGGAACTATCATGAAAGAATCATAAAATATTTATCCAGTCTTTTTATAGTTGCCAACAAGAAAGGGAGGGGGAGCAGTGCAGCAGCTTGCAAAACTGAATCTGCATTCCATAAATGTTTTCAAAGATAGTAACTAGATGACTGAAGTTTCTGCCATGCAAAATTCTAACTGGAGAACATGATTTATCACTCTTGGCTATGGATGTGTCCCATTGGAGAATATGAATTATGATGGGGGGGAAACCAGGGTCAAGGGTGACAATGAATTATGTGTCTCAAAGTTGGCTACACCCAGGCAGTGCCGGCATGTTAACTATCAATAAATCCTTTTTAAGTCTTGGAAGTTTGGCTCAAGACCCATGATTTAAATGGGGGTAACTGCTGGAATCCTGACAGACTGTTGGCTGGGACTTTGTTGGAGAGGCAATTCATTGTAAATCAAATAAAAGGAGTTTATCGGGATGAGGACCCAGCTTCATGCTGTTGGGAAGCCTAGGTCAGAACAGTAACCAGTGGTATCTATTACAATAAAAATTGATAAATAAAAGTATATAAATAACTACATCTTAATTAATTGATTCATACCATGAGTTCAGGATTATTTCCCTCTTCCAGGCCATTCTTGACCTCAAGGATCATGTTATATCTTCATTTTTAATAGATACTGCATTTAGTAGAAACTGACAGTAAATGAATTTACCTTCTTTTTAAATTATGCTTAAATGAACAAAATCTAGGATTTGAGTATACATAAGTATCTCTAAAGGAGAATATTTGTAGCTCAGGGTTGAACCAAGGGATCCATGGTGCTTTCTGAGCTTGGCTGCTTTCTTGCAGATATTTCATTACCCAAATTAGGTAACATCAACCATGCTGCATTGCTGATGCTACCTAATTTGGGTCATGAAATGTTTGCAAGAAAACAGCCAAGCTCAGAGAGCACTAAGGACCTCACATATGTATCTGCCCAGCCCCAACATGAAAACTCATCAAAATGTCCCAAGTTTCTTCCTCATTTTGTGCCCTACATCTAAGTTTCAAAAATTCACAGTAGTAGAGCTAAGATAAAATCAATATGTTTCCTTTTGACATTTTACAAAAATGCAAGGAAGGTAGTTCCACAAATAAGCTGTTATTTCCCAGGTAAACTTGTTATTCTTTTCTCCAGATATCAAGGGAATCCTAATAAACATGAGAAAAGTATGAACTCAGGTTAAAAATATTGCATTGCATTAATACCAGCTCAGAAATACAGAATTAAAAGTAGAGAAAAGGTATATTTAATATGTGATACTACATTTTATAAAATATTCATGAGAGGATGATTGATTATGTCTCAGCTCACCAGTGGAATGGTAACACTTAAATTACACTTTGATTTGTACAATGATTATTTTATATATTGAATTGCTTCTATTCAGAACACCGGTTTTATTCTTCTTTTCTGAGATAATGTGCATTTCTTTCACTTGTAACCTCAGAGGTCCTCTTCCAATTGTTCATAAGTATTATCAATCAGGAGATTTAATCATTGCTGCAATCATATATCAGATGTTATTTGTTTCAAATGAGATCACTTTTCAAAGTGTTCCTTCACACGATGTCCTTGATCAATATCTGTAAGTATTCTCATTCACAGACTCATACACATCACCACTATAATGTTCATTTCCTCCCTCCCTCCCCCTTCCTTCCTTCCTTCCTTCCTTCCTTCCTTCCTTCCTTCCTTCCTTCCTTCCTTCCTTCCTTCCTTCTGTAAAATAGTTACCATACCACATGATCTTTAGCCATGTCTTAATTCTAAAGCTAAGAGAGATTTAAGGTCCTCAAATTCTGAAGTTTCAAATGAGGGAAGTATTGTTGCTTTTAATATTACTATTACAAAGGTTATTTCCCATAAATAACATTCACAGTCCTTTGTTTCATTAGGAGAAAATCGTGATTAATATAAATTGTAGGGCTGTTCTAAAAATAGTCTATATATATCCTGGTACTTTCTGAATTTTCTTCCCTTGCCCATCACTATGGAGTGCAGAAACTGTGATAGGCAATGGAACTGGATTATTATTTTTACAGATTACAAAGTCCAAATGTCAAATTACTTGTAAGAATGTTATAAGCATACAACTGAAATCATATCTATTCAACCTTCATTCATTCCAGATAGGAATGTTATTGCAAACAACCATATTAATCCTGGAAGATACAGCTCACCATGATGTTTTCCAGAAAAAGAGACTTAAATAGAGAAGGAAGTGAGCTACAGAATAATGTTTACTTATCCATTTCCCATATCAGTTCTTTTCAGTTCACAGAATTTAGGACTATTATTTGCCTTAGACCACATCCCTGATGTCTAGAATAAACAATAAGAAGCACATTTTCTGTATTTATAAATATATGTAATAATTTTAAATACCAATGTTTAACTATGAAGCAAAAATATATTGACACAGTTTTTAACTTTCACTGAAGGTTCCTCACTCATAATTACCAACACAATTTGGCTCTGGCATTTGCTATAAAAGAGATCAATGAACATTCTGGGATTTTACCCAATATTACCCTTGGTTTCTACATCACTACTGACTATTTTGATGATATTACAACTTACCTTTTAGCAATGGAATTTTTATCTACAAAAGATAAATTTATCCCCAACTACAAATGTAATGACCAGACGAACACAGTAGCTGTCATTGGAGGACCCCGTACTAAAACCTGTGTCAACATGGCAACTGTTCTGTGTAACTATAAGTTTCCACAGGTGAGATCAAAATTGGAACAGGAGGGGAAGTTCAATTATTTATTACTTTCAGATGGTGAGTCCTCATGGCAGAATCTCAAGACAACCGGTTAATGATCTACAATGAAAATCACCACCACAACTGTTCTTAAACATACTGTGAAACTTCCTTATGCCTAGTTGTTGAACTCATAAGAAAGACTTGTATTCCATTTGTACCAAAAGCAAGGGTAACAATTAACAAAAATACACATCACACACTTCTCTTTGGAACAATCTCTTTTTTTTGCCTGTATTCTTTTCCCCCCATTTAGATCACATATGGATCAGCCCCACTGATGAATAAGGAAACAGCAGCATATTTTGTCAAATGGATGTTCCCAGATGAGATCCACCAGCTTAAAGGAATACTATACTTATTGTTGCATTTCCAGTGGACCTGGGTTGGATTGATTTCTCTGTATGAGGAAGATAGAGAGAGGTTCATTCAAAAGAGTCTTTCCATTTTTTCAGAGAGGGGAATCTGCTTTGACTTCATAGAATGTATCCCACAAATGATGTATGGTAATTTAGTTGCTGAAATGATGGAGCAGGCGGATAAATTATATAAAGTGATTATGGGAAGTACAGTCGTTGCAGTGATCTTAAATGCTGAAATTACAACCATTGTGATTTTGAGAATAATGATCTACATTTTAGATGCTGATGATATTCCAATGAAAAGAAAAGCCAAAGTTTGGATCATGGCAGCTCAGATGGATTTTACCTCTATTCTAATGCAAAGACACTTGCCCATTGATTTTCTCCATGGTGCTCTTTCCTTTGCAATTCATTCAAAATCATTAATAGGTTTCCAAAAATTTATGTTGAAGAGAAGTCCAAACTTTGAAAGAGAAGATGGATTTATAAGGGATTTTTGGAAAGATGCATTTGACTGCTCATTCCCCAGTGAGATGACAGATAGGAATGCTGAAAGGATCTGCACTGGAGAAGAGAAGCTGGAGACTCTTCCTAATTCTGTCTTTGAGACCACTGTGAGTGGACATAGTTACAGCATCTACAATGCAGTCTATGCTGTGGCACATGCTCTGAGGGCCATATTCTGCCAAACTCCCAAATTCAAAGATGGTCAAATAATTGATGAAAGGAGATGGAAGATGTTGCTTCAGTCACCATGGCAGGTAATATTGGCTAATACAAAATTCAGGAAAGTCATCAGGTATATAAGCAACACTGAATTAATCAATTAATCAAAGCAAATGATCTACTGCTTTTCTTCATGTGTTAATATTTTCATGGAATTCTCATCTGAAATATTTTCATTTGAAATACTATAGTTATGCAGTAGGGTGAAAAATGAATATGATACAGAACATTAAGTCTCTTCCAGTTTTAAATAGTGCAGACTGATGTGAAATTTAACATGTAATCTTTCATTAAGCAAAGCCAAATTAAAAGAAACAAAGTGTGATTTGTGCATACCCTTAAAGAATCCTATTAATTTTCCCTTTTCTTTTTTAATGAGAGAAGAAGAATGCTAGTGCTTCAATCACTGTGCATATGTTGTTCAGTAATCCAGGTTACCGTGTTAATGTTGGAAAGACTAAAACTCATAAATAATAACTTTTCTAGGCAATCCTAGATGGCCCATGTATTGTTATTTCCTAGACAAATAGCAGGATCCAGTGTAGGGCTTTCCAGACTGATCTGTTACCTATCTGTTACAAAACATTTGCTAGACCAATTCTTGAATACAGCTCATCTGTCTGGAATCCACACTGCATATTGGACATTAATCCAATTGAGAGAGTCAAGAAATATTTCATGAGAAGAGTCCTCCACTCTTCTACTTGCAACCCAATATCCTATGCCACGAGTCTTCAAATTTTGGGTTTAGATAACTTAGAACTACACCACCTTCCATCTGACCTAAGCATAGTACATAAAATTATCCATTGCAATGTCCTACCCATCAATGACTACTTCAGGTTCAACCTCAACAATACACGAGCATACAATAGATACAAACTCAGGGTAAACCACACAAACTCAATTGCAGGAAATACGACTTCAGCAACAGAGTAGTCAATGCCTGGAATGCTCTACCTGACTCTGTGGTTTTTTCCCCAAACCCCAAACACTTTAACCTCAGATTGTCTACTGTTGACCTCACCACATTCCTAAGAGGTCTGTAAGGGGCGTGCATAATAAGCACACCAATGTGCCTACCGTCTCTGTCTTAAAGTTCCCTTTTATTCATATCTATTTAATGTATACATAGTCATGTTTATACATATATATTATCAAATGCTTGCTTGATGAAATAAATAAATAAATAAATAATAAAAAACCCTGTAGTTTTCTAGGTCTCTATGAGATGTGTTAAGAATTCCTGAAGATGATTCCAAACTCTATTCCCTCTTCATTAAACTATCAACATAAGGCAAAAGGAAAATAGATATGAACAACTCATGCTGAAATTTAATTTAGGCAGTCCTTGACCCAGAATAGGTTGCTAAGTGACAAATTTGTTAAATGAATTTTATCCCATTTTATGACTTTTCTTGCCACATTTGTTAAGTGAATCACTGCAGTTGTTAAATTAGTAACATGATTAAGTGAATCTGGCTGCCTCATTGATGTTGCTTTTCAGATGTTTGCAAAAAAAGGGCCATATTGTTGGTCAGGAATCAGATGATTCTGATGAATGCCCAAGTGAGACATATGGTGAGATGACAGAACTTAAGACTAGGCCTCAGCAAGCCTTTGAAGCCATGGAAAGTTTCACAGGAAACCATTAGCCTGTGGATTAGGCATGTGATTGAAACCATAGAACCATGCTTGACTATTTTGATGCTTTCTATATTTTCTATATCTTATTGTAGGATGCCAGCTGCATATTATGTAATAAAATGAAAGTTAAAGAAATCTATTACTATCTTCCTTGCATAGATCTGGGTTCCTTCCACAATGCTGAATAAACACATTGGCTTATCATCACAGACACCTCAACTCTGTCTTTTATTTTACTAAACCAGACCTGAAAACCTTAATGATAACATGACCACAGCACACTGCAACTGTCATAAGTATGAACCATCTGTCAAGCATCCAAATGTAAATCACATGACCATGGTCATAAATGTTAAAAATGGTCATAAGTCACTATTTTCAGTTCCCTTGTAACTTTAAATCGTCAAAAAGTGAACTGTTTTAAGTCAAGGACTATCTCTAATGTTAATTCAAATGGATTTTCCACATAAATTTGTTTTCAGTTATTCTTTTAGTTTTGTTTTTTTTAAAGTTGGAAGGAAAGGCCATCTTTACTCATATTTTTTTCCCTGAGGATTCTGTGGAGAACTTAATATTCCCTGCATTTAATGGAAGCAATGTAAAGTCACAATTTTTGGATTGCTCATTTGAACAGAGCAAAGTGTGCTTTTGGATTTTGTGATGGTATTTTCCTCTGAAAAAATTTCAAGTTAAAAAAGAAATATATTCCCATTCAATTTTAAATAGTGTAGACTGAAGCAAAAAAATTTTAACAGGCTACTTTTCATTAAGCATAATCCAGATTGAAATGAAGAAACTGTTTTGTTTTTTTTCTCGTATCTTTTAAGAAGTCCTGTTAACTTTCTGGTTTCCTTCTTTTTTCTTCATTTAGCTTCACCATTTTTTGCAGAAAGTCTCCTTTAACAACAGTGCGGGGGAAGAGATTTCATTTGGACCCAATGGGGAATTAGTAACTGGATTTGATATTCTAAATTGGGTCACATTCCCAAACAAGTCCTTTCAGAGAGTCCAGGTTGGAAAAATTGACCCCATGGCTCCCCTAGATAAGTTTCTCACCATTTCTGTGAAGGATATTACTTGGCCCTTCACATTTAACCAGGTGTGTCTCATTTTGTACTTTTTAGGAAATCATTTAAGTCACTGCCCCATATCAATAAATGATGTAAATACAATAAGAACAATTGGCTTAAAATTTAAGCAGCTTCACATTCTTGAAATAGCCTAAAGAAACTTTACTTTCAAAATATATTTCAAATATATTTGATATATAGCAAAATTTAAAATATTGAAATATATTATTCAAAAATAATTTCAGAAATTCAGTCTGTCTATCTCTTCAAAGTATATTACCATTGGAAATATGATTATACATCACCTAAAATTCATTTTCCAAAAAACCCCCATAAATTAATCATGTGACATAAAAATCTTTCTTTCTACATCTGTATGACAGAGTTCTACACTTGATTTAGAAAAGCATCATATCCCTGTTTAGTTTAATATTTTCAGACACTCATATCCACCTCTCAATTTTTGTGGACAAAAAAACTTTAATGGAAGTACCACAGAAAAAAAGATCTTTTGGAAGTTTGTAAGAGAGTAAATGATCTGTATTATCTGTCAATCCTTAAAGAAAAGATCAAATTACATTTGTATTCAATCTGTTCCAGGTTTCAAACAAATACAAAAGCCTCCCAAAATGACATCATTCTACTATAAGCAGGCAGACAGAAAATGCTGAATTTTGAAAATCAGATTTTTGCTATTTAAAATCACAAAAGTCTCATTAAATGATGGAAAAATCAAGCAAGTTTTGAAACAGCTATTACAGATGTAGGAGACCACCTCAAAATGTGGAACCTCAAGGAAAGCATATTTGAAGAGCTCCCAAGTTAAACATTTTCACACAGATTCTAGTTCTGATTTTCTCAGAACAAATCTTTAGAGTAGTATTCTTGGGTTGATTAGTATGATAGGTATGAAATAAGGAGCAGTTGAGGGAGTGGGGAATTTAAGCCAGAAACCAACCTGGGAATGGAATAGCAAGATCTAGATTCAATATGAACAATTTGGGTATGTCTAAGCAATGAAAAGAATAACCCTAAAGCATAATTTTTTCATGTGAAAGAATTCTGATTTTATTTATGAACAGACATTACCTCTTTCCATTTGTAACAAGAAATGTCCTCTTGGTCATAGCAAGATAAAAGTGGAAGGGAAATTATCTTGCTGCTATGACTGTATAAATTGTCCAGAAGGGAAGATAGCAAACCAAATGGGTAAGCAAAGGAATATATTGAATATATTTATTATATTAATAATTATAATTGGGGGCTCAATTATGAACAAAAATTATCATGACTGAAAATCTTGAGCTTCACATCACATTTAATTATTTGACAATGAAATATTTGAACTGAATGTTCATACCTCCACAGGATATTTGATGATAAGACTAATCAGTTTACTCTAACTAGAAGGTTCAGCAGATTTTACAGATTTGAATTGTCCCTTTTTAATATTTCTTTGAATATACTCTATTATTTTTTAAATTAAATTTTCTTCTAGGTAGAGTATCTGAAATATTTCCTTTGTACCTTCTTTTTTTGGAAGTAAAGGTAACTGGTAATGGTGATTGCATTTACTGCAGATGTGATCTTTTCACTGGATTTTACTTCCTATTTCCTCACAATGTTTATTGCTTATTGATCTTATATGGCTGCCTATCTCATGTCATCAACCTAGGTGATTACACCTACGGCAGATGGATCACAACAATAAGTTAAAAAAAATTATAAAAATACTCTCCCACCAGCCCTACATGAATGAGCTAATTGTCTCATTCTTGTCCCATCCTAGACCAACATTTCGATCAGGAGACAAGTCTTTCCAGCCTAGTACAGGGATAAAAAAGATAGGACTACCTGAAAATTCAGAGGAGAGAATATTGGAAAAGCCTGGGCATTTACTGAGAAAGTACCCTTCTAACTCCCATCAGTTGACAACACTTAATGCATGAGACTTACAATATGTTCATCTAGCTGACTTATTGAAAGAAACAGATACTGTAAGCGAGTATCTGTTTCTTTCAATTGTTTCAATTGTTTGTTGTACCAAAACTGCATGTGTTGCTGCATTGGGGAAAAGTTTCTGTTTTCAAATGGTATTCAATGGAAGTCCCATGTAGAGGACATCCAGCAATCCACTTGGCACTTCAATAAGGCTAAAGAATGCTATAAAAATCAGGGTTCAGACTGCAGATGTGTATCTGCCCAACTATGGCACAACAGAGTAGAATATGGGAATATTAGGTTTGTATTGTTGAGTTCTTCATGTTCTTTGAGCTTGGTTTTTTGGTTAGCAAATGTTTCACAGCACAAGTCACTGTTGGGTTTTCTTCCTGTCTTTATGCAGTAAATTGTGATGCCATTTTGATGGAAATATTATTTTTTCTTAAGTAGTTCCATGATTAGAGTCTTGTAATCATTCCAAATAATGAACTCAAAGCAGTCAAGACTCTTGACAGTTTGCACAGGTTCAAGAAGCCCTTTATTAAGTACATCATATCAGCATTTAGAAAGTAGAAGCTAGCTCTAAATGGTTTCCTCATTTAGGGTTAGTTAAAATAATAGAAATTCCTCACCCCCCTGTATCTTTCAGACCACATGGGCCAATCAATTCAGCCACAGGTTCCCACTCGGCTCCAACAGGTGTCTGTTAATGTGACCTTCATTCACACACTGGCTGATGTTATGACTAGCAGATGTGGCACCACATTTCTAAGCTCCCCCATCCCTCCCCACCATGGATGTCAACCAAGAAACAAAGCAGGAGTAAGCATGAGAAAGAATAGTTTCAACTGAAGTCATTTTGCAGGTTGACAGGCATAGATTTCTCTCAGATAGTTTGTCTTGCTTTAATCCATGCTTATCTGGCTGTTAGATGTTTCAGAGCTTGGCTATAGAGATTCTCAGTCATCCAGGTCATGGCTGCTTTTTCAAGAGGCAAATGGACTTTGGAGTTTTTCTTTGAAGACATTTCACTTGTCATACAACAAGCTTCTTCAGCTTTGACTAGATGGTGAGGGATGGAAGGATTTATATTCCTTGCAGAAAGTTGTTCATTTTTTTCTTTTAGACCAAGGGTGTCACACTAGTAGCCCATGGGCCAGATGCATCATATGTAGGCCATGCCCATCCCAGTTCTGCAAACAGAAAAAAGTCATGAAATGTCATGTAGTGGCAATATGGTACCGTGACTTTGATAGCCTTGTTTTAGACAGTTGTTGGAGCTAGAGATTTCAGAGCATGTGTTTTGTCCTGGTTTCCTTCTTAGGTATACATTGTTTCTTTTGAATTAAATATACTTTATCTTCATATCAAACAACCAAGTTCAAATGTACCTAGCATTCTCAGGAAACATACCATAAATTATACTATGAATTATTTTAAGAAAAAGTAATCAGATTCCCTATGTAAATCATAGAACCTTAGTGGATCTATTGTTTTATTGATGATTGATGCTGGAAAAAAATACTTTTTCCATTAATGGTTTCCTTGTTTGTTTGTTTTCTCCAGACTTAGATGATTGTTTCTCATGTCCAGAAGATCAATACCCAAACAAAGACCGGGATAGTTGTCTTCAGAAAAACATAACTTATTTGACTTATCAAGAGCCTTTGGGCATTTCTTTGCTGGCCACAGCAGTCTTCTTGTCTTTCAGCTCAGTCTTATTATTGGGGATCTTCATTAAATACCAAGACACTCCCATTGTCAAAGCCAACAATAGGAACCTTACTTATACTCTTCTCATTGCTCTCCTCCTCTCCTTCCTTTGCACTTTACTCTTCATTGGACAACCTGACCAAGTGAAATGTCTTTTGAGACAAATTGCTTTTGGCCTAATCTTTTCTGTAGCTCTTTCTTGTATATTGGGAAAAACAGCCATTGTTGTTCTTGCTTTCATGGCCACCAAGCCTGGTTCCAAAATGCGGAAATGGGTAGGGAAAAGATTGGCTGCTTCAATTGTCCTACCTTGCTCAGTGATACAATTTACTATTTGTCTAGCATGGTTGGCAACTTTCCCCCCGTTCCCAGATTCTGACATGCATTCAATGACAGAAGAAATTATCTTGCAATGTAATGAAGGTTCAGCCACTATGTTTTATACCGTCTTTGGCTTTATGGGGTTCTTGACTGCTGTCAGCTTCACAGTTGCCTTCCTAGCTAGAAATTTACCTGACAGCTTCAATGAAGCCAAATTCATCACCTTCAGCATGTTGGTTTTTTGTAGTGTTTGGGTATCATTTGTTCCAACCTATCTAAGCACCAAAGGAAAATACATGGTGGCTGTGGAGATCTTTTCCATTTTGGCTTCAGCAGCTGGATTACTGGTCTGCATCTTTTCCCCCAAATGCTACATCATTATTCTAAGATCTGACCTGAACAAGAAGGAGCAACTAATAAAGAAATGAAGCTTATTTTTATATTAGACTCTTTGAAAGAAGCCAGATTGGTTACTATCAGCATATAGGTTTTGTGAAATTTGGTGGTTCTGCATTCTTCCCTACACGAGCAAATCAAGGTGACATGCAAGGTGACAATCTCCTCCAAGATTTTTTCCACATCTATTCTTTCAAATGTTAATTTTTCTGGCCTTGTTCAGAATAGAGTGCCTAAGACAATTTTGTGTGAAAGTCAATTCAACCTATAGGTTTCACAATATCCCTGCCTCTCCAAAAAAAGAAAAACCCTTCTAATAACTTCCATATTCTATTTTTAAATGTGGAAGAAAATTCACATTAATATCTCTAACCCAAATCTGGTTAGGAGGCAAGGTTCTGGATAAAAAGCTGAGAAATAATGAATTGTAATCCTCCCCTATGTCACAGATGATGTGCTGTTGTGGGAACTGAGAAGTTGGAAGAAAGTGGTGTTGCAGAATTTCTTCTCACTTTCCCTGATGTAATTCACCTTTTTTAAGACCATGATTTAATGTGCCTTTATTTATTTATTTATACCACCCACCCTCACCTCATGTCATGACATTGGGAAGCATACATACTAATACAATCCATGTAGATTAAATTCAATTAATTTAAGTTAAATTGGTAAAAACAAAATGGGGAAAAAGATGCAAGAGCATGAATTCCAATTAATTATGTTATAAACATCTAATAGGCTGCACTCCATCATGTAATCCCTAAGCCAGTTGCATTTACCTTCTTTTTAAACTATGCTTAAAGGAAAAAATATGGGACTTGATTATATAAAGGAGAATATTTGTAGCTCAGGGTTGAAATGAGGAGTGGATGGTGCTTTCTGAGCTTGGCTGTTTTCTTGCAGATGTTTCATTATCCAAATTAGGTAACATCAACTTTGCTGCACTGATGATGCTATCTAGTTTGGGTCATGAATTTTTTGAAAGGAAACAACCAAGTCCAGACAGCACTAAGGACCTTGCATATGTTTCTGTCCAACATACAAACACATTTAGAACAATTTTTCCCAAGTTTCTTTCTCATTTTCTGCTCTACATCTAAGTTTTAAAAGTTCACAGCAGTACAGCTATGATCAAATCAACATGTCTCCTTTTGACATTTTTTTAAAAATGCAAGGAAGGTAATTCTGCAATACTATTCCCAGGTAACTATTAAATAAAAAAATATTGATCTTTTCTCGGGGAGAGGGGAGGAGCTGGCATCGCGACGGTATGGTTTGCAATCAAGCTCTAAGATTGCAGCCGATATCTTAACCCCTGGCTGGTCCAAACGGACCTAAACTGTCCCGTAGGGATGGTTATCATGAGGGGTACACCCTGTGGATCCCAGGGACACTGCAAAGTCCCTGGTTGACCCAGGAGAAGTCCCTTTTGCTGGTGGTGGAGAGGCAGCCCCAAAGCTGCTGAAATCGGGTCAGCTCCGGAAAGGAAGAGGCTGAAAGAGAAAGTGTGTCGGCTGGGTGAGAAACTTTTTTAAAAAACATTTTGAGGCTTGAAAGGACACTTTGATTATAAGAAGAAATCTGTGAGATTTTTGACAAAACTGAATAAGTGGTGTTTTTTAAAGGGAGATGTCAAAGTGAGGCTTGGCTATTTCTTTTCTTTATTTTTTATTTTTTTTTGCTACCAGACTTTATTGTTACTTAGTAGATTACCGGCTTCGAATCTTACATATATATATATATATGTTTTCTGAGGTTCTCGCGGGTATTTGTATGTGGATCTTTGGTTGTTCAGGTTTTCTCCTGCATAAGATTCGAAGTATCTAGGCAACGTTTCAATGAAGTCTCATTCATCATCTTCAGGCTTCTGTCTTCAGCTCTGTGCTTCTCTGAGGGATGTGAGATTGCAGCTGCTTCTTCCTTTTAACTGCTAGTGGGGGTGTGACTTGATTGGGTGGGGGCTTGGCTGTGTTCTGATTGGGTGGGGGGTGTTCTCATTGGTAGGGGGTTTGGCTGTGTTCTGATTGGATGGGGGGTTGGTCGTGTTCTGATTGGCTGGAGGCGTGTTCTGTTCAGGTGGGGGCTTGGTTGTGCTCAGGTTAGTCTTAGTTGCTGGGAGATTTGAGTTGGTGAGCTGGGATCTTGCTGTTTGGCTTTGAGTTCGTGGTCGTGCTGCATCTTCATAGTGGGTGTCGGTTTGCTTCATGTATGGCTCGGAGGGGTTTGAAGTGGGTAGTGATGCAGCTGCAGTGCGGCTTCTGGTCCGTGGTCGTGTCTCATCTTCTGAGTGGGTGTGAGTCTGTTTTCTTTTTTTTTTAAATATAGTTTATTAATTTTTACAATTAAAACCAGTCAAAATACATACACAAATAAGCAAAAGAAAGAAAGAAAGAAAAGAAAGAAAAGAGAAGAGGAAGAGAGGGAAAGAATTTTAAGAAAAGAAAGAAAGAAAGAGGTTACAGGATTAAAAGTATTCTTATTTTAACAGTTTGCAAGATCTTCTTTTGTTTTCATCACCTTAACTTGTGTCATATAACCACACCTGTTTTTAACTTATATCGCTACCTCGTTGTTATGTATTGATACTTTTCTTTTATGCCTTATAATATATTATTTATCTTTGGTCAATCCAATTATACCAACAATTCCAGCTGTCATAGTATAGTGAAGTGTCTTTGTTTTTTAGCGCCAAAGTCAATTTATCCATTTCTGCGCATTTTGAGATTTTTTCAATAATCATTTCTTCTGATGGAATTTGGTGTTGTTTCCAATGTTGAGCGAAGGCTAATCTGGCCGTTGTTAAAATGTGTATTGTTATGTATTTGGTTTCTTTGGAAATTTGCTTATCAAAAATCCCTAGTAGGAAGGACTCTGGTTTGTATTCGATCTGCTCTTTGGTGATTTCTTCCAACCAAGTTTTGATTTTCTTCCAATACTTTTGGGTTTCTGCACAGGACCACCACATATGGAAAAAGGTTCCTTCTTTTTTCCTACACTTCCAGCAATGCGGACTCATGTTGGGGTGCATCTTCGCTAACCTCGAAGGGGGGAGATGCCATCTATAGAACATTTTATAAAGATTTTCTTTGTATGCTGCCGATTTGGTAATCTTATTGTTTCTGCCCCAAACTTTCTCCCATTCCGCTAATGTGATGCTGCGCCCTACATTCTTACTCCAAGCAATCATATTTCCTTTTACGATTTCTTCTTCTAGTTCTGTTTCTAATAAGTAGTTATAAAATTTTGTTATGTTTTTTTTATTTGATCCTAATAAAATTTTATCTAACTGTTGCAGTTTGTTATTAATTCCGAATTCTTTTTTGTCTTGTTTATATCTGCTTTGAATCTGAAGATAAACCCATTGATCAATTTTATGTCCTTGCTCTTGAAGATCCAGCCTCGGTTTCAAATTTCCTTGTGGGTCTAATAAGTCTTTGTATTTTCTACATGGAAGTGTGGTGGTGGCATCTTGTGTGGCTCTCATGGGTGTGGGTCTGGTGTCATTCTTCATGTTAGGTACTCGTCTGTTCATGAGGGCGGGTTTCCAAATGGCTGGAAGGTGGGAGGTGTCATCTCGTTTGTTCATGCTGTGTGGGCGTTTTTCTATCTCTATGGCTTCTCTGATTATTCTGCTGTTGAAGTGTTCAGTTTTGGCGATGGTTCTGGTATTTTTAAAGTCAATCTCATGTCCTGTGGTTTTGAGGTGTTGGACCAGGGAAGAGGTCGTTTCTTCTTTTTTGATTGAGTTCTTATGTTCTTCAATGCGTGCACTTATTCTTCTGTTAGTTTGTCCAATGTATGTGGT